ACCCTGCTGGGGACCCTCCAGGAGACATGACCCGAGGCTGGGGCCATGCACCCTGCCCTGGCACACAGCCCCCCCAGCCTTGGTGCCATCTCACAGGGGGTCCCTTGTCCTCCACTCTCCCAATTCTGGGCAGGTTAAAGCTGCCCCAAAGCCTGTCCCCCCCGGGGTGGTGGCAAGGTGAGAACTCAGCAAGGGAACAGGGGCAAAGCTCTCTGCAGCAAAGAGCCAGCGCTCATGTCAGGGCTCTGCCGCAGCACTCGCTCCCCTTCACACGTCAGCACCCACTGGAGATGGTTTCACTTCCTTTTTTGGGGCCCCCTTTCGAGTTTCTGATTGGGGACTGAGGCAGGTCAGGAGTAAATTTAGCTGGGGATGCCCCACGCTGCACAGCTGCACGGTGGCAGTGCCGGGGGGGGGCAGGAGGGCACCGAGCTGGCGTGGCACAGCCTGGGCTCTGCACAGCCTTCCCCAAACCCTATGGAGAAGGTTTGGGTTATGGAGAAGGCGGCTACGTGAGCCGGGGGGGTGTCGGGATGGGGTGCAGGAGCCACCAACCGCCCCTCCCGGTGCCCCAGGTCAGGCAGGGCAGAGCCCAGCAGGTATCACCCAGCCTGGGCACAGCTGCAGAGCCAAAGCACTGGGCTCATTCTGTCCTCCCGCTGCCACCCCAGTGGGGTCCGGCTCTGCCCCGTGCCCCATAGCCTGAGCTGGGGTTATTGTTGGCCCCAGCTCTCGCTTTCGGGTTTCAGCCCTGCTCCTCCCGGAGCGGCGGCTGTTGGGGTGGCCGGGCAGGCGGAACGTCCCCGTCCCCTCGGGCTGTGCCACGCCGCACACGGCTCTGCAGGTGAGGTGTTTCATCAGCCCCAGGTGCGTGCGCTCTGCTCCCGCCACGTCCCCACAAAGAGACCCCAGATCCTCCCGGTGTGAGATGCTGGGGCTCGCTGGGGGAAACACCAGGTGATGGGCAATGCAAAACCAGCAAGCCCAGGCTGGTTTTGGAGGAGACAAACCCTGGTAAGTTACCCCCCATGGATGGGGTCCAGCATGGCCACCCCCAAGTGCAAGGCTGTGGGTGCAGGAGCTGCCCTCACCCCAGGGCAGGCTTTGGGGGCCAGAGCAGAGCTTTGCCCTCTGGGGCTGGGAGTGATGTTTTGGGCACGGGTTGCAAGAGCTCACACTGCCCCACACTCCTTTGTTCCATCCCCACATCCCTCCCTCTGGTCTCAGCCATGGGCTCCCTCCAAGCTCAAAGCATCTAAACCGCAGGGGTTTATTAAACTCCCTCAAAGGCTTTGCTAAGCCCTTGTCTGTGGGCGCAGATCTCACTGAGCCCTGCTCCCACCATGGCACCTGCTGCAGCTCTCTGCCGCTAAATAAAGCCTTTCTGAATCATCTCATCTACTAAAATAGCTCCCCTCGTTTAGGGTTAACGGTGAGCTGGGGAAACAGAAAATAAACAACTTTAAAATGGCAGCGCAGGAGATGCAGAGCGAGAGCGAGAGCTGCAGCTGTGGAGGGAGGGACGCGGGTTTCTCTTTCCCTCAGCAGAAAACCCCACCGAGGGTGGCTGCAGGAGCAGGACAATTCTCTTCTTCCCAGGCCTGCATCAGGCCCTGCATTCCGGTGTGATTCCCAGCAGTTCCCAACACTGCTGAAGGCTTGTTATGGATAAAACCGGGGTTGGGAACCTGCTGTGCTGTGGCAGTGGGGGAGTATGGGAGCACTGGGGGGCACTGATCCATAATTCAGCAGCTTTTCCCCTGCTTATGGAAAGGATTTAGCAAACTCTTTTAATCAATCATTAATGAGGTTCCCTGCCCCTGGAGTCAGATGTGCCAGTGCTAACCCAGACCCAAGCTGAAGCAAGACCCAGCAGGACCTGCCCCAAACTGAGGCCGTGAAAGCTCAGTGTGGTGTCTTGTGAGCAAGGGACAGGCTTTACCCATGGGATGCTGGGATGGATTTCAAGCCCTGTGGAAAGTGTTGCCTTGCTGCCCCCTCCTTGCCAGCTGCCCCCCCACCCCAATGTACCCAATATAGCAGGGTAAAATCTGGCAGCATGGCTGCAATGGGGGCTCCTGTGTCACCCCATCATTCCCTCCAGTCTCAACCACAGCTTTAGGGTATGGTTTGCCAACTGCTGGAATCAATAATCAGTGAAGCTTGAGCTTTCTCAGTGGGGAATGGAAGCAGGCATCCTTCCTGGCAGCAGGTCTTGCTCCTTGAGGCTTTCTCAGCTGGCACAAACCCAGGCAGCCTCTACTGGGCAAAAGCCCCAGCAGAGCCATGAGGATGGGGGCAAGGATGCTGCAGGCAGGGGTTTGCCAAGGAATAACCTCCCTTGAGCATGGAGAGGGGCTCAGTGCCAGGGCAGAGGAGCTGGTGCCATCGCTGGGTCTGTGTCCCCCAGCAGTGAGCTGGGATGGGTGCTGCAGGGATCTGTACCTCCCAGATCCCTGCTGCAGCCTGGCAGCCCCCCGGACCAACGCTGCCACTGCAGGCTCTTCTCTGCCCAGGAAACTGTCTTAAAGGAGCTTATCTTGGAAAACAGCAGGACAGACCCTACCATTGCCCTGCCCACCTTCCTCTATCTCCAGTGCAAGCTGAGCATCACACTGCTGGCTCCTTCCCTGGCTGCTGCAGTCTGGTCTGGCCATGGGTTTGCTCCATGGGGATGGGGTTTCCTGTGAAAAACCCAAGCCTTGTCACCTAATACATGGGCAGGGACACTGGGACTGCTTCCATCAGCCCAGTCCCTGTGCCTGGCAATGAGAAGGGAGTTTGCCCCATGGATGGGGCTGTGCCGTGGCAGCGTCTCCCTTGCCTGGCTGGGGAGAAGGATAAAGGCAGAATAAAGCCAGTTGTTTTGGAGCACGAGGTGCCTCTTGGAACTTCTGGTGGGGTCCTGACGCTGCTGCTAGCTTCCTACCAAAAAGCAGGAGGGAAGGAGGGCTGGGGCAGACCCAGGCTATGTCCCCTTCTGCCCCTTCCATTGCATCCTGCCGGGACTGCACAGTGCCCTGGGCCCTGCAGGGCTGGCACACATCCCTGGAGCTGCTCGGGGCTCCTGGGGACAGCTAGTACTGTGGAGGACAAAATGCCTGGCGCAGCCAGGAAACCCCAGTAGCCCTGGAGGGGGTGCAGGGGACAGAGGTAGGGCAGGGGGCAGCCTTTTGGGCATGGGGACATGGGGACAGCATGGAGTGGGGAGCTGCTGTCTCCAGTAGCAATAGGGAGGGATGGGGACAGGGATGGGGATGCTGCTGAAGTGGTGAGCCTCAGGCTGAGACTGCAGACCCAGGGCTGGCTGGAGAACTGCATAACCTGCAGAAATGCAGGCTGGGAAAAGCATGTTATCGGGGTAAATAGCAGCATCTTCCACTAGAATAAAGTCTTCTGAAATGCTAAACCACTGTGCCACCATCGCTGGGATGTCCCCAACAGCACTGGGGGACATGGGGCTCCTTTTGCGAGCAGCAGGACCACCGCTTCGTTCAGGCCACCGACCCTGTCATGTCCATGTGAGCAAGAGATGGATGAAAGAAGCTTAATTCTACTCCAAGTTCCTCTTTGGTACTTGCTTTCCTGGCAGGTTTGGAGTTGGTGCTTCAGTGCTTGCTCCCTGGGAGGCTCCATTCCCTTAGACGTTTTGCCAGACAAGGAACAACCCAGAGAGAAGAAACTGCCCCTTTGGATCTTGTCTCATAGAGTTTGAGTTTGGCAGAAGAGTTTTGGTTTCATTTTGGCTTCATTTCATGATAAACCCTCAAGCGGCTGCTGAATGATTGAGGGAAAAAGAGCATTAAAGAGCTGGAGTGGGCAGCTCCATCAGAGCTTTCTGGGATGGATGGAGGCATCGGGGTGGGAAGGATGGATGAAGATGCTCAGCTGGAACTGTTGGGGTGGGTAGGATGGGTGGAGGCATTGAGATGGACAGGGCAGAGGCGCTGGGGTGGATGGAATAGATGAACACACCAGAGGAGAGTTCTGGAGCCCCGAACACAAGAGGGACATAGAGCTGTCGGAGAGAGTCCAGAGGAGGCCACAGAGATGCTGCGAGAGCTGGAGCAGCTCTGGTCAAGACAAGCTGAGAGCTGGGATCTGGGGAGACCTTATTGCGGCCTTTTGGTACTTAAATGGGGCCTGTAAGAAGATGGGGACAAGGCTTTTAGCAAGCCCTGTTGCATTAGGACAAAAGGTAATGGTTTTAAACTAAACTAGAGTAGATTAGGCTAGATATGAGGAATACATTTTTAATGATGAGGGTGATGAAACACTGGAACAGGTTGGCCAGAGAGGTTGTAGATAATGCCTCATCCCTGGAAACATTCAAGGCTGTGCTGGACGGGGCTTTATTTAAACAACCTGACTGAGGTGCAGATGCCCCTGCTCATGGCAGGGGTGTGACGGGATGACCTGTAAAGGTCCCTTCCAACCCAAACCATTTTGTGATTCTAGGAGACTCTGTCACCAGAAATGGCTGCAGGGACACGCGCAACCCTGCAGGGCCACAGGGAAACCTCCCCAGAGCTGTGCCACAGGGCCCACAGGGTCCCACGTTGCAAGGGACAGACTGGTGCATGCGCATGACTGGCAGCTACACCGGCACCCCCATCCTTGTGGACACAGTGGTGACAGAGGAAACAGGGACGCAGCCAGGGCTGGTGGCAAAGGGACGTGGCTGTCCATGGCCCCACCACAAGCTGTATGTCCCTGCAAGGGACCTGGCACCCAAAGGCCAGCAGGCAAGGGATGAGAATGGCACAGCCAGGACCATGTGCTTGCTGCTGGGCTGAGGGTTTAGATTAGCCTGCTGCCACAGGCTGCTCATCCTCTGGTCCCGGCAGGGCCAGGGGGGTTCATTGGGGTTCCCAGGGGTGAGCAAGAGCTGCAAGGAGCCCCAGCACTATGTGTGTGTGTGTTCCCATCCCACCCTCCTCCGTACCGGTGCCCGTGGGGTGGTGAAAGGACACAGAGACAGGGATGCTGAGGCAGCGCTGGTTCAGTGTCGGTGTTTATTTGTGGGACACTCAGGACAGGGGGACAGGAGCAGGGCACTGGGGGACATCTGCGGCAGAGGGAGAGCCACTGCCCCTCATGGTGGGGAAGGGTTGAAGGGTTGGGGGGGTGTCATGAGGGTCCACAGGGAACAGGGATGTCCCAGTGGGGTTAGGAGCACTCGGATCTATTCAGGCTCTTCTCTACATTGCCAGCCTCGTGCGTGACCTTGCAGGAGTAGCTGTTGTACTTGTTCCAGTCAGAGGCACTCAGCGTCAGGTAGCTGCTGGCCACGTACTTGTTGTTGGACTGCCGCACCGGCTGGCTGGTGTCGGCCCCATCGCTGAGGGTTCTGCCGTCAGCCGTCCAGGTCACCTGCACGGAGCCGGGGTAGAAGTCTCCCAGCAGACACACCAGGGTGGCTTTGTTCTCAGCCTCGAGCTGCATGCTGGATGGCGGGAAGAGGTACACACTGGGGGAGGCCTTGGGCTGGCCTGTGAGGGAGAGAGCGTTGAGGAGTCAGAGGGGCTTTGTGCCCACCGCAGCCCCCTGCCTGCCTGCACTGCACCGAGTACCCCCACTTCCCCCACCACTGACAGTGCATTGTCTATAACTCTAATGTATTTGCACTGGGGATACAGCTACATTTTTATAGTGATGCATATATAAACATGTATAAGCATACATATACACACATATGTATAATATATATCTTATAGGTCTATGTGTATGTGTGTGTAATGTACAGATATATCACACATACACTTGTATATATGTTATCTATTTTATATATGTACATATATAAATATATATGTACATATGTAAAATATATATCGTTATATAAATGTATGTATGATTACATACTATGTATATAATATACAGTTATGTGTGAGTACATATTCGTATATAAAAAGCATGTTACATATATACTATATAAGTATATATAGTATGTATATAAATATATATAACATACTATATAAAAGTATATGTTTTATATATATTATATACCTATATATAGTATATAATACATATAAAACAAAATCTCTGGTTAGTTGCCCTAAACCCATTTCTTCCCTTTTGCGAGGCAATTTCACCTATAAAATCAGATTTTTGAAGACAAACACTCCTGTTTTCTGCCCCGCTCTGCTTTCAGACCCTTTCAGGTCTGTCTCAAAACAAGTGCAACTAAGAACCACCCAAAGGAAGATAGAGAAAAGATGTTTGCTCTTTCTGAGGTGTCTCCTCAAAGCTACAGTATGTGTATTTCTCTTCAAAACCCAGGAGGGCTCCACCATTCAAAACTTTCTGCTGAAGGAATCGGCAAACTCCATTTTTCTTGATTTTCTGCCCTAATGACTTGGTTCAGAGCGGGATTTTTTTGACAAATTCTTCTAAAACTGCCACAGACAGACAGACGATGCTCCCGGCAGCATTTTCAGCCCAATCAGCTCAAGTTTTTACATGGCTTACCTGGACAACGTGCTCTTTAAGAGACCCCTGACGAGTGTTTGGTTAAGATCCCAGGGATGTGCTAATTTAACACCAAGTCAGAAGCGCCTTCAGCCTGCTCCTGGCTGAGGACAGGCTACATTTTGCAGTGCCTGCACCCCTGGCTGCGTGAGCCCAAAGAGAAGCCCCTGCTCCTCACTTAGTCCTTCAGGACTAAGAGCTGAGAGCCTAGACCTTAAACTAATGCCTAATTCCCTTAACAAAGACAAAAACTCACTGTCTTAGAGACCTAAACCTGAGTTTCTGAAGTAGGCTCCCGGGGACCTCGGGCACATTTCCTGGCCAAATTTTCAGACCTATCAATGGAGAAAATACCCCCCAGTCCTCTATGGCCCGCACCAGAGCCCTCCGAGTCTGCAGGGTCAAGACACAGCCCACACTGCTGCGCTTAGTGCCTGCCTCCGAACTGGCAGCAGACCCCAGCCCAGCACCAAGTCCAAGCCAACCCCCCCAAATCACCGATAAATCAACAAAATGTCACAATTTCACGGTGGGGAAGGAAAGACCGAGAAGAAATCAGCGACTCACCTAGGACGGTCAGCAGGGTCCCGGACCCAAATACACCACACAGTGATACAGTGCCATGCAAAAACCTCCTGCCTCATGGCAGGAGCAGTTCTGGTCCCCATGGGTATGGCAGGGTGAGGTGATAGGATGGAGATGCCCCAGTAGACACAGCAGGATGAAGGTGATTGGCTGGGGGTGTCCTGATGGACACAGCAGGATGAATGTGTCCTGGTGGCTGGGTGCACTGTGCTGGATGTGCCCAGGTGGATGTGGCAGGGCAGGAGCAGCAGGACAGCCATATGGGAATGAATGCAAGTCCTTGCTGGAGCATCCATGAGGAAATGGGTGGCCTTGGCCCCGCCAGCCCACTTGGAGTCTGCTGGCTGGGCTTTCCAGAGCTATGGCTGTGTTGTTGGCTGTCCAAGGACCCACTGCTGCTGAGGACTGCACACCTATTGATTTTTATTTTCCTTTTTTGTTACTAATGCCTCAAAATTGTTTGAGTATACTTGTGTAAGCATTGATGTTGCTTGATATTTGGCAGTATATCCTCTTCACTATAAAGGAAGGCAGGAAAAGGTTCAGTAGTCAAATTCCTGAATGAAAAAATTGTGATCTTCAGTGCAGTGGGCACATGGTCAACAAATAACATCAAGTGGTGCCTCATGCTCAAAGAATATGACATGTGTTCTTTGTGTAAGTATTTTGATGGTTTATTAATGGCATCAAAAGACAAAAGAAAGTAGAGAGGAGATAGATGTACCATGTCTTTACAGTGGGTGACTTTCTGAAGCAGCAGATCCTCTACTGAACAACAAAAATAAAGCTCTTTCAGGTAGGTCTTAGGAAACAATTTCTCGCTGCAGAAGTTACCATTCCTCATACAGTGTTGAGAAAACAGATTGAGTAGCCAGGAGATCAGTGACCTTAGGCAAATCAACATTACATATCACAATCCATTTAAACTTCCGATGTTGGAAAAGCTGTTTGAAGACTGGCTTCTCTTAGCGGGAGGTGTCCCTGCCCATGGCAGGGGGGTTGGAACTAGGTGATCTTAAGGTCCTTTCCAACCCTAACTATTTGTGATTCTATGATTACAAGTCCCTGTCCCTGCCTGTGCTGTGAGGCCGTTAATCTCAGGTGATGAAGAGCTGGGGGACCACCAGACGTCATCCTGCCACACCATGGCTGTGGCCAGGGGAAATGGGGATCACTGTAGACAGTATGTGTGGGAGTAAACTTCATAAATAAACCATCCATCCATCCATCCATCCATCCATCCATCCATCCATCCATCCATCCATCCATCCATCTTTCCTTCTTTCCTTCCTTCCTTCCCACTGCCCAGAAACACCATCACTGGCTTAGAAGCAGCAGGGTGGAGCATCTGCCGAGGGCCAAGGCAAACAAAGGGGGTTGGACAGGAGGCATCAGAGGCTGTTGGCAGAGAAGAGCTGGACTAGAGGAAAAAAGCATGCAAGGGATGCAGATGTCTACATACATCTGCAGTAGCCAAAGCAGAGGTGAGCCACATGAGTTTCAGCTAAGACAAATGAACTTCAAATTCCCCAGGGAAAGCTTTGTAAAGTGTTTTCCCAGCACGCTGCCAATCTCACAGGGCACAGGTTGCTCAGCTCAGAGCAAACAAGCTCTTGAAGGAATGAATGTAAAGAGCACCACCTTAAACTCAACTAGAAAACATTCGGATGTCATGGTTTGTGCAAGCAGTTACAGTCAGTGAGTCTAACAGCTCCTAGTTCTTAGAAAATAAATGACGCTTCAAAGACTTTGTGGTTTGAAGCATGCTCCGTTGCAGTTTTACTCTGCCTCTGGGAATGCTTTATGCATTGGTGTGTAGATTAAAACTAGCCAAAAGAATCACTGAAATTATCTATGAAAAGCATTTAGCTGAAGCCAATGCTATCTGTTGTGGGCAACCACTTTCTGAGCATTTTTTCAGCCTTCAATTGGGTTTTGGTTCTATCCTAAAAGAGAATAATAAAGGCAGACAACATTAGGCTCTGCCAACTGAAGCAGAGACATCAAGGGCCCTGCCCAACCATCAAACAGGCACAGCAGAGACTCCTAGCTGGCCCCTGCGCTGGCAGGTTTTTGTATCACTTCCCTATTGTTTCATGTCACTGTGGGAACATAATTGCTGCCATCCCAGCCACCGCAGAAATAGTCGGCCTCATCCTCGGCCAGGACCCCAGTGATGGTTAACGTGGCCGTGGAGCCGGAGCTGGATCCGGAGAATCGCGAAGGGATGCCCGAGGGTCTCTTGTCGTTACCATAGATCACAGTGACAGGGGCAGTGCCAGGCACCTTCTGCTGGTGCCAGCCAACATTGCTGCCACTGCCAAGCCCGGAGCAGGTGATCTGGACGTCCTGTCCTGGCTCCACTGAGACCGACTGGGGCTGAGTCAGCGCTGCCTGGACCAGGGAACCTGGAGAGGGAGAGGAGAGAGGGGAGAAGATGGGGGTCAGGCAGTGCCCAGGAGCACAGCCCTGCCCGGGCAGCGGGACAGGGCCCCTGTGCACAAGGGCTCCGTGCGGGCGCAGTGGGTCTGGCCAGGGCACCTGAGCCATGGGCGAGCAGCGCGAGGAGCAGAGGGGCCCAGGCCATGGTGCGATCCCACCAGCTCCGTGTCCCCACCACGATGGGGCTGTGCCGGGGACCCCAACTCCCTTTTAAGCCCCCACACGCCCCGGCACGGCCCCTCCATGCAAATCTGAGCCCGCGCTTGCGCCAGGTCCTGCCCGCACCTCTCTCCCCACCTCCCGGCCTGCTCCACCACCAGCCCCACACCCCAGAGCAGTGGGGCTTGTCCCCGGGTGCAGACGGAGACACCTCCTGGTTCAGTGCTGCAAACCCACCAGCACGGATCCCCCATCCCCAGTGTGGGTCAAGTGGCTGCAGAGCCAAAGGGTACAGGAGAGATGGGCGCTGGGGACGGGAGCTCTCGCAGCTCCACCATCCCCATGGGCTGGCAGGAGCAGACGAGCCAGTGCCCATGCTGGGGATGGAAGGACCAGCCCTTGCCCAGGCTGTTGCCACTAGGGTGGATTCTATGGTTTAGCTGGGCTGAACTTGGCTCTTGCATGGGGAAAGGGCTGGGAAAAGGTACAAGTAAAGCCCCTTTTTCCATCCCTCTGAGGTCCTCAGGTGGATGTTATCTGTGATAGATGAGCACCCGGACCTTAACCTGGAGCAGGTGAGTAGGGCCAGGAGTGGTCTGCACTGGGAGCCCAGAGGAGCCCTCACTCCTGAGCACTGCAGGGTGCTCGCTGCAACCATGCCCTCCTGGCCCCAGCCCGTGGCTTGTGGCACTCCTGCCACACATCACAATCGCAGGCACAGAGCTGGAGAACAAGACCATGTGGGGCCCCGCTGCCCACTGCAGCTCTTGAGACACAAATGAAGCCCCTAAGGGGCCAGCAGCCCTGTTCAGAGCCTGGCAGTACCACTCGCCCTCATGCCAAACTTTGGCCCCTGCCCTGTCATGTTCATGGGGACACAGGAAATGCCACACCTGGAAACAAGAGGCACACCATGAAATGACAGGGCTGGTGCCTTTGTTCCCAGTGGCAGACCCAGTCCTGGGCTCCCACAGCAGGATGAGGATGAGGTCAGGGTGCTGGGCAGAGCCTTGCTGTCGTGGGGCCATAGGGCGACATTGCCCATGACCAAGGGCTGCCCAGGGGGGCAGAAGTGCAGCCAATGCTGCAGGACCCATGGGCTCCTCGTGCAGTACAACAGAGCAGCCCCCAGCCAGCCCTGCTCTGCCTGCCAGCCTCGTGCATGACCCTGGAGATCTGCACCACGGGAAACATCTCTTCCCATGGCTGGAAGGGAAAGCATCAGCCCTGCTCTGTGGCCCGTGGTGTGTTCCCACATCCTGGTTGTGGGGCTGCAGTTTGAGCAGGGCTGCAGCACCCTTGGGGAATGTCCCAGGGGCTCCCAGTGCAGGGGGGCTGGAAGAAGGGCAGGGAGCACCCAACAGTGCCCTGGGTGCAAGCTGGGAGCACAGGAGACCTTGGACCTGCAGTGCAGGGCAGGGACAGGGCTGCGGGGCCTCATCCCCTCCCTGAATGACAGGGATGAGCACAGAGCTGCGGCACTAAGACATCTGGTCCGGGACACCAGCACAGCCTCCTGCAGCACAGACACCAATGGCAGGGCCGTGGCAGGGACTTGCTGTGTTTGTCCTATCAAACAGGGACTGTAAATATCCCTAAAAGGCCCCTGCAATGGCAGGAGGTTTTTGTATCACTTCCCTATTGTTTCATGTCACTGTGGGAACATCAGTGCTGCCATCCCAGCCACCACAGTAATAGTCGGCCTCGTCCTCAGCTTGGACCCCAGTGATGGTTAACGTGCCCGTGGTGCCGGACTTGGATCCGGAGAATCATGAAGGGATGCCCGAGGGTCTCTTGGTGCTATCATAGATCACAGTGACAGGGGCAGTGCCAGGCGCCTTCTGCTGGTACCAGCCAACAGCACTGCTGCTGCCAAGCTCAGATTAGGTGGGGCCATGGAAGGGACCTGCCCGACCATCAGACAGGGACAGCAGGGACTCCTGAGAGGTCCCTGTGGTGACAGGAGGTTTTTGTATCACTTCCTCATTACTCTTTGCCACCGTGCCAGCACCAGCACTGCTGTCCCAGCTCCCACAGTAATAGTCGGCCTCGTCCTCGGCTTGCACCCCAGTGATGGTTAACGTGGCTGTGGAGCCGGACTTGGATCCGGAGAATCGTGAAGGGATGCCCGAGGGTCTCTTGTCGTTACCATAGATCACAGTGATAGGGGCACTGCCAGACACCTTCTGCTGGTACCAGCCATAGCCATAGCTGCCACCACCAGAGCAGGTGATCTGGACGTCCTGTCCTGGCTCCGCTGAGACCGATGGGGGCTGAGTCAGCGCTGCCTGGACCAGGGAACCTGGAGAGGGAGAGGAGAGAGGGGAGAAGATGGGGGTCAGGCAGTGCCCAGGAGCACAGCCCTGCCCGGGCAGCGGGACAGGGCCCCTGTGCACAAGGGCTCCGTGCGGGTGCAGTGGGTCTGGCCAGGGCACCTGAGCCATGGGCGAGCAGCGCGAGGAGCAGAGGGGCCCAGGCCATGGTGCGATCCCACCAGCTCCGTGTCCCCACCACGATGGGGCTGTGCCGGGGACCCCAACTCCCTTTTAAGCCCCCACGCGCCCCGGCACGGCCCCTCCATGCAAATCTGAGCCCGCGCTTGCGCCAGGTCCTGCCCGCACCTCTCTCCCCACCTCCCGGCCTGCTCCACCACCAGCCCCACACCCCAGAGCAGTGGGGCTTGTCCCCGGGTGCAGACAGAGACACCTCTTGCTTCAGTGCCGCAAACCCACCAGCACGGATCCCCCATCCCCATTGCTGGGCCAGTGGTCAGGGCAGAGGTGAGCTGCTGTGGGTAATGCGGGCAGGCAGTGCCACAGCTCTGAGTGTTGGCTCTGGAATGACACCAACACCAGCACTCCGCACCCCAGTTTCGCCATCTTCCACTCCTATGGGTGTCCCAGGCCATTAAGGTACCCTCTTACTCTGCTGCTTTCCTGCCCTGGCTCTTGCCCTGCCAGCCCAGACCCACCTCTCAAAACCCGTGCTCTTCCCAGGTGTCCGCTCCCCAGCACCATGGGAGCACCCAGCAGTGGCGCCCAGCAATGCCACCCCATGAGCACCACATCTGGTGCTGGGCAAACACAGCCAGAGCAGGGGCAGCCACAGGGCTCTGCTCAACCATCAGGGCAGTCCCCGTTCCGCCCTGCTCTGACCCAGGGCACAGGGCTCGTGGCCACCTTGGGCCCAGCCAAAAATCACTGCGACCACAGGAAATGCCACCACCCTGTGACCCACCCCTGTCCCCATCGCTGCCTGCCTCTGGGTGCTCAGGGTACGGAGAGCAATGGGCAGAGCAGGGTGCAGGGGTCTGTCTCCTTGTGGGCTGTACAGAAGGGACCTGCTGGAGCAGAACACGTGCCCCATGGCAGGAGCCGCCTCACAGGAACACGTCCTGCTCCAACACAGCATCCAAGCAGCACTTGCAGCAGCAGGCAGCACCAGGGGGGACCTGCGGCAATAGCAGCCTTGGGCGTCACTTCCCAGTGCTGGGAGTCACCATGACGCTGACCAGCTCTGGTGTCCCAGCCAGCACAGGAGAAGACAGCCTCTGCCTCAGCCTGGAGCTCAGTGATGAGGAGTGTGGCCATGGGGAGAAGCACCTTCCCTGGTGCTGCACAGCCCCTTGCCAAGTGACAGGGGATGGGCACAGACATGGGGGTCTAATGGACAGCCGAGCTGGGACATCAGGCGCAGGTGCTTGCAGCCCAGGGCAGGGTCATGGCAAAGACCTGTCCCACCACCAAACAGGGACAGCAGAGACTAATAACTGGTTCCTGCAATGGTGTGAAGTGTTTGTATCTCTTCCTCATTGCTCCGTGTCACCATTAGAGCTGCCATCGTAGCCACCACAGTAATAGACGGCCTCATCCTCGGCTTGGACCCCAGTGATGGTTAACGTGCCCGTGGAGCCGGACTTGGATCCAGAGAATCGCGAAGGGATGCCCGAGGGTCTCTTGGTGCTCTCATAGATCACTGTGACAGGGGCACTGCCTGGTGTCTTCTGCTGGAACCAGCCACAAACACGATTGCTACACCCAGATGTAATCTTCCCCCCGGGGACAGAGACACTGTGGTGGGTGAGCCAGAGCCATGTGAGAGCAAGGGACTCGGGCAGGATGTCTCCTTGCCCTGCTGCAGTGCCCGAGGATCCTGCAGGCTGGAAAATGCCCCTGCACCCACCCCTGGCACCCAGCATGGCTGCATTGCTGCAGGGCTCCAGGTGAAGCTCAGCCTGGGGGAGCAGAAATGCTGCAAAGCTTTTCCCAGGGAGCTCCATGGACCCAGCTCCTAGCACTGCCTCAGGCTCCACTGCCCCTCACATGGGTACTAGCAGTGGAGACAAGCACAGCCAGGGCTTCACCAGTACCACAGCCCCATCACTGGAGACACAGTCACTGCCCTGAGACACGGCACACAGGGAGGGGCATGGAGGGGGGAATGGAAAACCCCAAAGCTGAAGAGACAGCCCTGCTTGGCGGAGAGGAAGCAGGAGATAAAACCCACACCTCTGACTCTCAAAGTCTCACTTGCACATAGCTCTGTGTCATCATGAGATTGATCTGCACTGCTGTCGTCCCAGCTCCCACAGTAATAGAGGGCCTCGTCCTCTGCTTAGGCCCCAGTGATGGTTAACGTGGCCATGGTGCCAGAGATGGATCTGGAGAATCAGGAAAGGATGTCCAGGATCTCTGGTTGTTCTGATAGATCAGAGTGACAGGGACAGTGCCAGGTACCCTCTGCTGGAACCAGCCGTAGCTGTTGTTAATCATGGAGAAGGCAATGCAGGTGATTACTTCTGAGGACGCTTACATTACGAGCACATGAGTAGACCTGCCTAGAGACCAGGAGGGAGAGAAGGCGGCAGAAGATGGGATCACAAGTGCTGCAGGAGCACATCCCTTCCTGGGCAGTGGGACAGTGATGGGTTTCCTGTGCCAGGGGCTGCAGGGCAGGGCATCTCCAGTCTAGGGAGCCCATTGACAGATGATGTGTGACAGAAGGAATGGATGAATCTCCAGTACGCATTGGGCTGGTGAGATGCACCACCATGGAGACCAGAGACAGGGTACTGCTGGGGCAGGGGGCATGAACTCCACCAGGGCCTCTCGAAGACCAAACGTGCCCCGGGTAACACCTTCTTCCCACACATGTCCTGTCACTACAATAGCATGAAGCACTCAGGGAACATGGACTCTGGCCCTTTGGCTTCTCGGCACCCCTTGAGATTAGTCAGGAATGTCCACAAAGGCAGCCCAGGCCAAGTTGTTGGTGGGATGAGAGGGGTGGTAGTGCAAAGGAGGGACATAGTGCCTGGAGCTCACAGCCTGCAATAGAAATACATTCCTAGAGCAAATAGATCCCTCCACAGCCAAGGATTGCCCTAAGCCTGCTCATCCCAATGGAAAAGCTCTCAGACACAAGAGGGACAGAGAATCCCTCTGCACAACAGTACAGCAACACTGTGCAACAGAAACCACCATTTGCAGTACCCAGAGCAAGGATGGAGGTGCCCAGTATCACACACCAACACTGCACTGGTAGCACCAGAGGGGAAGTGGCATCAGAACAGACATGCAGACAAAACCCTGCAAAACCAGAGCTGGAAGAAGGGCAAGTGCAACAGGGCATCAACTGCCTGCTCTCTGAAGCTTTTCCAAACATAGAGGAGGTGTAGGAAGGAACAGGAAGGAACATAGCAATCTTAGCATCACCATGACCCTGACCAGCACCAGTGCTGCTGTCCCAGCTCCCACAGTAATAGTCGGCCTCATCCTTCGCTTGTACCCCAGTGATGGTTAACGTGGCCGTGGAGCCAGAGCTGGATCTGGAGAATCATGAAGGGATGCCCTAGGGCCTCTTGGTGCTACCATAGATCACAGTGATAGGGGCAGTGCCAGGCACCTTCTGCTGGTACCAGCCATAGTTGTTGCTGCTCCCAGAGCAGGTGATCTGGACGTTCTTTCCTGGCTCCACTGAGACCGATGGGGGCTGAGTCAGCGCTGCCTGGACCAGGGAACCTGGAGAGGGAGAGGAGAGAGGGGAGAAGACGGGGGTCAGCCAGTGCCCAGGAGCACAGGGGCCCTGCCCGGGCAGCGGGACAGGCCTCCCTGTGCACAAAGCTCCTTAAGGGCACGGAGAGACCCCAGCCCCACAGGCAGAGCCCAAGGAGTGAGCCCTTCTACCAGAAGCAAGAGGACATGTCTGACTGCAGCATGAAGTGGGAGGCAGATGAAAGGCAAACACATGTCTTTTGTCAGGATAGGCACAGGGTCACATCCTGCATGGTGCGGTATAATCAGGAGGACACCCACAGACATGGCCATGCAGAGGGGACATGAAGCTGCTGCAGGACAACAGCCCAGCTCCCCAGTGAAGAAGAAGGGCAGAGACCCTCCTCTGCAGCTCACTTTCACATCTCTCTGCATTGCAACAACAGCATCAGTGCTGCTGTCATAGCTCCCACAGTAATAGACGGCCTCGTCCTCGGCTTGGACCCCAGTGATGGTTAACGTGGCTGTGGAGCCGGACTTGGATCCGGAGAATCGCGAAGGGATGCCCGAGGGTCTCTTGTTGTTATCATAGATCACAGTGATAGGGGCAGTGCCAGGCACCTTCTGCTGGTACCAGCCATAGCCATAGCTGCTCCCAGAGCAGGTGATCTGGACGTTCTTTCCTGGCTCCACTGAGACCGATGGGGGCTGAGTCAGCGCTGCCTGGACCAGGGAACCTGGAGAGGGAGAGGAGAGAGGGGAGAAGACGGGGGTCAGGCAGTGCCCAGGAGCACAGCCCTGCCCGGGCAGCGGGACAGGGCCTCTGTGCACAAGGGCCCCAGTCTGGCTGGGGCACATGAGCCATGGCCAAGTGGCACGAGGAGGAGATCAGAACACGTGCCCCATGGCAGGAGCTGCCTCACAGGAACACGTCCTGCTCCAACACAGCATCCAAGCAGCACTTGAAGCAGCAGGCAGCACCAGGGGGGACCTGGGGCAACAGCAGCCTTGGGCATCACTTCCCAGTGCTGGGAGTCACCATGACGCTGACCAGCTCTGGTGTCCCAGCCAGCACAGGAGAAGACAGCCTCTGCCTCAGCCTGGAGCTCAGTGATGAGGAGTGTGGCCATGGGGAGAAGCACCTTCCCTGGTGCTGCACAGCCCCTTGCCAAGTGACAGGGGATGGGCACAGACATGGGGGTCTAATGGACAGCCGAGCGGGGACATCAGGCGCAGGCGCTTGCAGCCGAGGGCAAGCTCATGGCAAAGACCTGTCCCACCACCAAACAGGGACAGCAGAGACTAATAACTGGTTCCTGCAATGCTGGAAGGTTTTTAGTATCACTTCCTTATTGCTCCATTTCACCACGTCAGCACCAGTGCTGCTGTCATAGCTCCCACAGTCATAGATGGCCACATCCTCAGCTTGGACCCCAGTGATGGTTAACGTGTCCCTGGTGCCAGACTTGGATCCGGAGAATCATGAAGGGATGCCCGAGGGTCTCTTGGTGCTATCATAGATCACAGTGACAGGGGCAGTGCCAGGCGCCTTCTGCTGGTACCAGCCAACAGCACTGCTGCTGCCAAGCTCAGATTAGGTGGGGCCATGGAAGGGACCTGCCCGACCATCAGACAGGGACAGCAGGGACTCCTGACAGGTCCCTGTGGTGACAGGAGGTTTTTGTATCACTTCTTCATTACTCTTTGCCACCGTGCCAGCACCAGCACTGCTGTCCCAGCTCCCACAGTAATAGACGGCCTCGTCCTCGGCTTGGACCCCAGTGATGGTTAACGTGGCTGTGGAGCCGGACTTGGATCCGGAGAATCGCGAAGGGATGCCCGAGGGTCTCTTGTCGTTAGCATAGATCACAGTGACAGGGGCAGTGCCAGGCACCTTCTGCTGGTGCCAGCCATAGTAGCTGCCCCCGGAGCAGTTGATCTGGGCCTTCTTTCCTGGCTCCACTGAGACCAATGGGGGCTGTGTCAGCGCTGCCTGGACCAGGGAACCTGGAGAGGGAGAGGAGAGAGGGGAGAAGACGGGGGTCAGCCAGTGCCCAGGAGCACAGCCCTGCCCGGGCAGCGGGACAGAGAGTGCACAGCTGGAGGAGAACACAGCTCTCATCCAGGCAGCTGGTTGCTCTGCCTCTATCCTTTCCTTTTAACCAAAACCTAATTATTCAAACTTATACTAAAACAATGACCGAGTGTGACAGATGAACAAAGAAGGTGGAGTTTAAAGCTCGTGCTGTCCACAAGAGATTGTGTTCAAGTTCCCAGGGCCAATCTGTGGTTTGTATCCATAATTAATACGTGGCTATTTGGTCTCTTTTTCAGGACACTGAAACAAAAGACACATGGAGGAGCAAGGTCTAAATCTATTGTAATTTTTCAGGATAAGGGAAGGAAGCGTCAACAAAGTGCTGTTACTACAAACACCACCCATCAGTTTCTTCTAATTGATGCTCCACAAATAAGTGATTCATAAGCATTCACACAGGTAGGGCAAAGACCAAAGGCACTGCAAGACAGGCAGAAATAAGCAAAGAGGACTATAAGTAGTGTGAGAGAACATGTCAGCTCTATGGGCCCCATTGTTTCTACAGGGAAAATGCTCTGACTCCCTCCTGTCCATGGTCGCAAGCACATTTTGGGAGCTGGGCCCAGCCAAACACATCCCAGCAGAAAGGCAGCTCTGGCAGCAGCAGGAAGACATGGCTCTCAGTAGCAAGAGGCAGCAGGGTGGCAGACGGTGCCACACTGTGAACACTGTAGGGAGGAGGACAATGGTCCCAAGCCATAAGGTAACTCCTCCAGTTCTCTGGGACAGGAAAGGGAGGACACATTCACAGCTCTGCATGTGCAGAGGGGACAGGAACTTGCCTCAGCCCCACAGCCACAACTCTGCTCAGCCAGGACAAAGAGGGTCACAAACCTACCCCTGATCTTGGAGTATGCGTCTCACTTTCTACTACTCACTGCCACCAGACACCATAGCTGCTGCTGCTGTCCCAGCCACCACAGTAATAGACGGCCTTGCCCTCAGCTTGGACCCCAGTGATGGTTAATGTGGCCGTGGAGCCGGAGCTGGATCCAGAAAATCGTGAAGGGATGCCCGAGGGTCTATTGGTGTCCTTATAGATCACAGTGATAGGAGCAGTGCCAGGCACCTTCTGCTGGAACCAGCCGTAGCTGTTGCTGCTCCCAGAGCAGGTGATCTGGACGTTCTGTCCTGGCTCCACTGAGACCGATGGGGGCTGAGTCAGCGCTGCCTGGACCAGGGAACCTGGAGAGGGAGAGGAGAGAGGGGAGAAGATGGGGGTCAGGCAGTGCCCAGGAGCACAGCCCTGCCCGGGCAGCGGGACAGGGCCCCTGTGCACAAGGGCTCCGTGCGGGTGCAGTGGGTCTGGCCAGGGCACCTGAGCCATGGGCGAGCAGCGCGAGGAGCAGAGGGGCCCAGGCCATGGTGCGATCCCACCAGCTCTGTGTCCCCACCACAATGAGGCTGTGTCGGGGACCCCAACTCCCTTTTAAGCCCCCACCTACCGAGGCCATGGCCCTTCCTTGGATCACGGCAGGATCCTTCCTGCTCCTTTCTCCCCACCTCCGTCCCAGCTCCCTTGAGCAGGAGCCGCTTCTCTTTCAGTTCCACAACAGAACTGCAGAGTGGAGAGATGGGGTTTGAAGGGGACTGGAACCACACGGAGACCAGGCGCTGCCGAGCTACCCAGCAGTGAGGAAACCCAGCTCCTCCAGCTACAAAGTGAGCCATGGGTCTCCAGCGGCTTCAAAGCAACCATGAACAGACTTGGGCTGGAGCTTGTACCAGTCAAGCGCACGTAATCATCCTCCACACTCGCCTGGCCCGGGGCAGCCCCTGCTACCTGCACCAGGGAGTTACCCACTGGCACCAGGGAGTTACCCACAGGCACTCGGTTGTCCCCAACCCTTTTGCCCCGTGAACGTCAGGATTGTGGTGTGGGGCCACACTGACACCATGTGGGGACAAGGTGACCCTCAGGGACAGGAGCAGTGGAACTGAGGGCAGAGCCCAGCACAGGACTAGCCCCATGCTGTCCCTCCTCGCTGTGACAGCTTCCACCATGTCAAGAGACATCTCCAGCTCCTGCCACAACCTTCAGGACTTCTGTATGGGATCGTGAGCAAGGCACCCCGTGCTCAGAGAGGGAGCCTCACACACACACACAGGGCCTTTAGGCACAGCTGCTGTCATCAGAGGAGGGTGGGCATCAGCCCTGAACTGGCACGGAGCGCAGGGACAGGAGCAGGATGGCACAGATAACAGCGCTTCTCCCAGCTTACCTGAGCCACAAGACCAGACACAGGACAAGGCGTTCTGAGGGCAGCAGGAACCAGCCAAACAACAGGTCTGCGCTACCAGGAGCTCTGTCACTTCTGCACCCTCCACATCCACCGTTAGGATTGCTGCCCCATACACGGCAGACAACAGATGGTCAACCAGGAGCACCCAACCATGGCCACCCTGGGGGCACCAGGATGCTGATCAGCACTGCTGTTGTCCCAGGCACCACAGTAATAGACGGCCTCGTCCTCAGCTTGGACCCCAGTGATGGTTAACGTGCCCGTGGTGCCAGACTTGGATCCAGAGAATCGTGAAGGGATGCCCAAGGGTCTCTTGTCATTCCAATAGATCACAGTGACAGGGGCAGTGCCAGGCACCTTCTGCTGGTACCAGCCAACATCATTGCTGCTACTGTCAAGCCCGGAGCAGGTGATCTGGACGTTCTTTCTTGGCTCCACTGAGACCGATGGGGGCTGAGTCAGCACTGCCTGGACCAGGGAACCTGGAGAGGGAGAGGAGAGAGGGGAGAAGATGGGGGTCAGCCAGTGCCCAGGAGCACAGCCCTGCCCGGGCAGCGGGACAGGGCCCCTGTGCACAAAGCTCCTTAAGGGCACGGAGAGACCCCAGCCCCACAGGCAGAGCCCAAGGAGTGAGCCCTTCTACCAGAAGCAAGAGGACATGTCTGACTGCAGCATGAGGTGGGAGGCAGATGAAGGCAAACACATGTCTTTTGTCAGGATAGGCACAGGGTCACATCCTGCATGGTGCGGTATAATCAGGAGGACTCCCACAGACATGGCCATGCAGAGGGGACATGAAGCTGCTGCAGGCTAACAGCCCAGCTCCCCAGTGAAGAAGAAGGGCAGAGACCCTCCTCTGCAGCTCACTTTCACATCTCTCTGCATTGCAACAACAGCATCAGTGCTGCTGTCATAGCTCCCACAGTAATAGACGGCCTCGTCCTCGGCTTGGACCCAAGTGATGGTTAACGTGGCTGTGGAGCCGGAGCTGGATCCAGAGAATCGCGAAGGGATGCCCGAGGGTCTCTTGTTGTTATCATAGATCACAGTGACAGGGGCAGTGCCAGGCACCTTCTGCTGGTACCAGCCATACCAGTTGCTGCCCCCGGAGCAGGTGATCTGGACGTTCTTTCCTGGCTCCACTGACACCGATGGGGGCTGAGTCAGCGCTGCCTGGACCAGGGAACCTGGAGAGGGAGAGGGGAGAAGATGGGGGTCAGGCAGTGCCCAGGAGCACAGCCCTGCCCGGGCAGCGGGACTGGGCCCCTGTGCACAAAGCTCCTTGAGGGCACAGGGAGACCCCAGCCCCACAGGCAGAGCCCAAGGAGTGAGCCCTTCTACCAGAAGCAAGAGGACATGTCTGACTGCAGTATGAAGCGGGAGGCAGACAAAAGGCAAAGGTATTTCTTTTGTCAGGACAGGCACAGGGTCACATCCTGCACGGTGTGGTATGATCAGAAGGACATTCACAGACATGGCTATGCAGAGGGCACATGAAGCAACCAACCATGGCCACCCTGGGGGCACCAGGATGCTGATCAGCACTGCTGCTGTCCCAGCCACCACAGTAATAGACGGCCTCATCCTCAGCTTGGACCCCAGTGATGGTTAACGTGCCCATGGAGCCGGACTTGGATCCAGAGAATCGCGAAGGGATGCCCGAGGGTCTATTGGTGCTACCATAGATCACAGTGACAGGGGCAGTGCCAGGCACCTTCTGCTGGTACCAGCCAACATAGCTGCCACTGCTAAGCCCGGAGCAGGTGATCTGGACGTCCTGTCCTGGCTCCACTGAGACCGACTGGGGCTGAGTCAGCGCTGCCTGGACCAGGGAACCTGGAGAGGGAGAGGAGAGAGGGGAGAAGATGGGGGTCAGCCAGTGCCCAGGAGCACAGCCCTACCAGGGCAGCGGGACAGGGCCCCTGTGCACAAGGGCTCTGTGCCAGCACAGCTGGTCTCAGAGGTACCTGAACCATGGGCGAGCAGCATGAGGAGCAGAGGGGCCCAGCCACCTCTGCTGGTAGCTTGATCCCACCAGCTCTGTGTCCCCACCACCATGGGGTTTTGCTATGGGCATTGGCTCCCTCTTAAACCCCCTCCCACCTTGGCACTGGCTTTCTGTGGAAACAGGGTCCCTGCACTCACAGCCAGCTCCTGTCTTGCCCCTTCCCCATCCACTGCAGGCACATCTCACCCACTAAATTCACCAAAATCAGTCTGGACTGTCTGCTCCCAGGGTCACTCAGGTGGGAAAACCAAGTCCTGCTTCACACCAAAGCTCCATAAATGGGTTTCTCTCGGGAGTCACAGGACTATAACCAGCTGGATCAAGCTGTCCAGGCAAGCTGTCCTCAGCTCTGGTTTTCGTACATACAGCCTTAGCCAAGACATGCACCACGGAATAGCAGAAACACTCGTGTACCCTGCTCTGCTGAAGCACCTTCTGCAGCTGCCTTAGCACAGCACCACGCAGCAACCAGGCAAACCACAGCTCCCTTTCAGCCATCAGAGCTCTCTCACTTCAAATTCCAGCCCACCTCCATCTTTTTGAAGCATGATGAATAGGACACAGACACATGAAGACTGGTGTTTATTATTCTATTCAGTTGTACAGAAGAGGTTCAATGCCAAACTACCACCACCCTCTGCAATTCCTTATTTAGGAGCATAGCAGTTTCTCCATAGACACAGGAGATTCTCCACAGTCCTCTCTCTTCAGTTTCTTCTGTTTGGGAACCAAAACTAACGGTGGTGTTTCAGGGCGTTTTCTTTTACAAGCTCACAATAAAGCGCTGTGGCCACTTTATCGTGCAGCAGCAGCACCCCCCGGTGGCCTGCCTCCACCTGGACTTAACCGGGAAGAGAAGCAATGAAAGGGGGTGAGAAGTCAACAAGCAAGTCGGACATGATTCAGTACTTCTTGAACTCAATTCTTTCTACTTTCACATCATCCTCAATTAGCTGGTATACATAAGCCACAACTGTAGAAGCCTGGATATCCATCAACACAAATGAAGGGATGATGTTCCTGGAAAGAAAACATTATTTGTCCATCTTCCCAATCAACTCGCACTTCTTGCTACGAACATACCTTATGTTTATGTGTTCTAATACACTCAGCTTCCCACGGCTGCAGGGATCCAGGAAACTGCAGTTTGCAGGCACCAACCACAGCCCCTCAGGCAGAGTTGCCCTTTGCCTAGCAAAGCCCAAGTCATGCCTGGCTCGGACATGCAAGCTGACAGTGCCTCCAATAGTCTGATACTCTACAAAGTATTAGCATGCAGCTTCTGGGAAGACACCAGAAAGCAAAGCACCTTCAAGAAGCTGCTCAACTCACCCCCTCCAGGCCCAGGAAGAAGCCCCAGACACACCAGTGCCGGACTGGCACATGGACTAAGTCAAACCCTGGTGACAGGGGAGCCCCACTGCATTCCCAGGGAGGGAAGAGAGCTGGCCTCCTGCTCCCCACAGCACCTTAGCAACATTCTGCAGCGCAGTGGCTGGACACTCACAGGTGAAAACAGATGCTCAGGTATCACCTATGGGCTCTGCTGCACTGGGCAGCTCAGGGCTCCCCTCACTCACGTTTCCAAAGCATTGTAGGCTCCTGTAGCTGATCCCGGGTTGATGTAAAATTTGTTTTCATGTTCAAATGCTTCAAATCTGTGCGTGTGTCCAGAGATGAGAATGTCCACATCCAGCTGCCTCTGCAGCAGGGCCAGGCTGGCCACATCGCCCCAGGGGATTACCTGATGGCCATGAATCAGCCCAATTCTGAACTGCCCGACAGTTACAACCTTCTCTTCAGGATAATTCAGGCTCTGAAAAGGCAAAAGGCACAGCTACAAATCAGCCAGAGAGGCCTCACCTACACCACACAGCTCCTACGTCCCAAAACATAAACCTGCCTTTCACTATTGGGGAGCACAAGGTCTTTCTCAACGCGCAGACCCACTGGATACTCATACCACAGCCCAGCAAGAGAGACCACAGCAGAGTGAAGAGTTTGTGCAGAGATCAGGTGCCTCAAGGCTGCACAACAGTAACTACACACACACACAAGCCCCCAGCTCCTGGAGCTACGCAGCCAACTGGGAAACTCCCGTGGCCTGTCAGCAACCACAGACAGATTTGTGCAGAGTCCATGTGAGCCAAGTGCATCGACTCCCCCAGGCAACAGGGGTCTAGAAAATAACCCTGTTACTTCAGTGTTAATCATTCCCATCTCCTATCCCGGCAAATAACAGCTTAGGAACTGCTAACACTGAAGGGCTCCCAAGTTTAATCGAGACCACAGATTCCTCAGGAAGGGGGCTGAGAAATTAGCAGCAGCAAGAACATTACCTCAGCGTCCCCCCTAACGACATGGACGTCCCCAGCCAGGGTCCGGAGGTAGTCATAGGTCTCCTTGGTGCAGAGGTTCCCTGTACACAAGATGTGCTGAATCTTTCCTGGAACCAGCAGCTTCTTGAACTTCACAGGTAGACCAGAGCACCGGTGTGGGATGTGAAGGTCCCCTAACACTAACACCAACTCCACACACAGCAGGGGGAAAACGAGAGTTAACCTCGGGGTACTCAACGGAACACCACAAACCCTTCCTGCCGCTCCAGGCCGCTCACAAAGCCCGGAGAGCCATTACGGGCCCAGCAGGGCCTTCTGTCCGGTACAGCCGTGAGGAAACACCGCCGGCACTCCCCAGCAGCCAGCCCGCTCCCACCGGGGAGCCGGGCCGCAACCTCCATGCAGCCGCGGCTGGGGCTGCCGAGGGGCATCAAAGAAGCGACCCGGGTCAAGCAGCCGCCCCACGCCGAAACCCCGGGCGGGGGCCCGGCTCCCGGGGGCGCAGGGAGCGGTGCGGCCCGGTCCGGTCCGGTCCGGTGCGGTGCGGTGCGGTGCGGTGCGGTGCGGCCGCCGCTCACCATCGCGCCGCTCCACGCCGCTCCGTTACCAGGACGCGCACAGCGGTAACCAGGACGTGACGCATCCTTTTTCTCCTCCTCGAAGCCAATGGCAGCGCCGCCAGCTCCCCACGTGACGTTGGCGCCCATGGACGGGTCCTAACGCCCGCCCGTGTGCCCGCAGCGCTGCGCAGGGGACGAAGCGCTTTGGGGTGTCCGTCCCGTCCCGTCCGGTCCCGTCCGGTGTTTTAAGTGAAATCCATGGGATTTTTGTGCAAAATGCACGCTCTTTCTGTGTGGAAACGTGCATACGAAGTACCTACAGGTGTCTGCGTGGTTACACGCGTCCTTTTCCCCTCAGAAGACTGGGGGAGCTGAGACGCAGCAGGGTCTGGGGTGGATGGTGAGGGGAGATGGCTGCGCGGAGACACGGGTGGGGGCCTCGAGACGGCTTTGAGGGTGCTGCGGAAGGGGACAGGTCCCTGGGGCATGGGGACAGCGTCCCCGCCCAGAGGGGTCTCTGGCTCTGGTGAAGATGGGCTCTGCCCGGGTGGGTGAGCACCATCCAGGTCCTGCAGACCCCATCAAACTCCCCACCACGGCTCCTCTGGGTCACCCTCCTCATCGGGTACCCGCAGGCACGGCCACATCCCTGCAGAGAAGCCCCAGGGGCTCCTCAGGACGTCACACACACGACACAAGCCCCGTGGCAAAGGATTAACCTTTATTATCAGGTGAAACAAACCACGCAGAAGCCCAAGCTGGATCAAGCCCACGTTGTGCCAAGTGAAGGAAGAGCCCGGTCATGGCAGAGCTTGCGCTGCAACAGGAAATCCCTGCTAATGCGCTCCAGGGCCGAGCCCTGGCTGGTCTCGCACTGTGTCAGCCTGTCCAATGTTCCATGGGGGACATTGGGGTTGAACAGGAGGTTGCTGCACCTCACAGCACAATGCAGTGCTGCCGGACTCGCTGCAGCACACTAGAGGGTCCTTTTCCGTTCCTCCTAGGGCTGCCACCTCCCTACTGAATAACTCGTGTCAGGCTTGCAAGGGGAAATGCAAAAAGCTTTTGTACTCTTGCTTCTAAAACCAGTTGAAGGCAGCTGACAGGGAGCAGTAATAGTTGCCACTGTCTTCATCACAGATGGATGTGATGGTGAGGATGCAGGCATTGCTGGCGATGTCTTTGGTAGCAGAGAAGCGGTCAGGAGTCTTGGTGGCCTTGTGCTTCTCTCGCTCAGAGTTGTAATAGAGCAGATATGTCAAGTTGTGCCCCGGGCGCTGCTGGAACCAGGAGATGCCGAAGTCACTGATGTTGTACTGGGGGCTCAGGGTGCAGGACAAGCGAGCAGTCTGCCCGGGCAGCACCAACATGAAGGTTGGCTGGGTCAGCACAGGCACAGCCCTGGAAGCTGTGCAGCAGGGATGCAGTTACTGATGGGCTGAGCCATGTCCCACATCATCCTCAGCCGCAAAGCGTCCCTGTGTCCCTTGAAGCAATCCCATCACCCAATCTCCATCCTCCCATCACAGCCCTGGAGGAAATGCCCTGCTGAGATGAACATCCCCTTGTGCAGCCCAGCCCTGCCACCACCCCACACGAGACAGCAGCTTGCTCAGCCACACCACCCTTACCTGTCTGCATCATCCCCACAAGGAGCAGGACCATGAAGCCCAGGGCCATGGCAGGACACGGAGGACAGGAGTCTGTTTTGGAGAGGGTCTGCAGTGCTACAGGAACGCGGGTGGCTGTGCTGCTGCCGCTGAGGTGTATGTAAATGACACAGGGGGCTCGGGGACTCCAGCTCCTCACGTTGCTCACTTTGCTGCAGCCAGGCTTCAGGGAGCGGGCTTGAAGCAGTGGGGTGAGAGCTGAGCATTGCGCCCCACCACCCGTGTCACCCCAGGCTAGGCCATTTCCTCCCGGCGCACTGATGCACAGTCCATCACTCCCTGCCCCAGCACCGCGGTACAGCAGCACTGAGCAGCCTTCCTCTCTGATGGGGACAGAGAGGTTTCCCTGGCACCTTTTGCCCTCTGCCACCGATACGCAAGGGGCCTGAGCCACACCATGTCAAGGGTGCCCTGCGGCAGCAGCAGGCTGGGACAAGCTGGCTCTGCTGCCAGCAGGAGCAATGACAGGATGCGCCAGAGCCGCCCCGGCAGCTGGCTCATGGCAGAAGCAATATAAGGAAAGTTGCTGCCCCCTTCTCCATGCAGCTGCACCAAGAACGGCTGCCCCACGGCACGGCCTGGGAGCTGCCGCGGGTGTGAGAGCTCTGCCGCGGGCAAACACCCCGGGGTGGCTGCCGAGGTCACCGGCCACAAGGCACTGCCCAAGGGAGCGGGTGCAGCGAGACGTGGCTGCAACTCAGGTGTCGCGGAAGGAGAGCAGACCGTTACGGCCAGGGCTGCCCCACACGGCAGCTGTAGCACTGCTGCCCGTGACACCCAGCACAGGCCAGAGACGCCACGTTACACTGTCAGGGGCTGCCCCCCCCCGGCACATCACTGCAGCCACCAGCCCACGGCAGACCTTCGCCGCAGGGTGGTCGCAGTGCCCTCGCCAGCACCACCATCCAGGGATGGCTCTTTCCCTCCCCTCCGGAGCACCCAGCCCTGCTCCCAAGCTGTCCCCAAGGCAAAGAAGTTTGCAAGTGGCTCCTGACGTGCCTGGCCCATGTGAGCTCCTGGCTTGAGGGAAAATGCAGCTCTGAGGGAGAGCCTGGCCTCGTCAGAACTCCCTGGCACAGGGAGAAACTGATGAGGAAGCACGACCTGCATCCAAGGATGCGGAAGTGCAGGCTGGACACTTGCTTTGCTGTGGTGCATCCCTGCACTGCTCTGAGCAGGGGCACCCAATGCATTGTCTGGTTTTAGCTCATTCTCTACAAGCTGGTCTAAAAAAAGCACTTACACAACCTCCCTTGGGAGCAGAGAGGGGAAAATGAGAGCTAAAGGTGCTGATGGGGACAATCAGAGCAGCTATAGCAGATGCCACAGAGCAGAGCGCACACCTGCAGCAGCATGAAGCAGGAAGGTGCCAGTTAGACCTGATGGGATCACACAGTACCTTATGCAGCTGGACTGCTGCATATGGTTGGGCAGCAAGAGCTGTTGTACACCTGCCAGGGAGACGTGGAGCACATGGGTGCCATGCAGCAGCCCCGTACCTGCGGCTCTGTCCCGTCCAGGCAAAATTGCTGCAGCAGACTTGCCACAGCCAGCCCCTACAGCAGGCGGTACCGGTGGCACGAGACCAGCTCCAAGGCACGTTCAAGGCTTGGTGTTCAACTCCACAAGGTGAACAGGAGCCACTCTGTGCTGTGTGCTAGGTGAGGCACATCACACACACCGCATCCATGGGTCAGAGACTGTGAAAAGAAGACCCACCAAGGCCCAAGGAGATCAATCACCTCCTCCTGCAAGAAGGGGCATTTTGAAGAAAGGGACCTTGTCCATGGCATGTCTGTTACAGTGAGATGCAGGTAGAGAAGGAAAGCACCAGCTTCACCGCAGCTCTGGGGGCAGCTGGACACCTGGAGCAACTTCCAGGCACTGGCTTCATAGGGAGGGACAGGGCACCTCAATGCCCAGGGAGCAGGGCAGGAGAGCTCTGCCAGGCACAGCTGCATCCTTTGTGTTATCTGTTTTAAAAGGGAGATCTTTAACCTCTACACGATGAACAATGGAGGACAAAACCCAGCAGAGCTGAGCTAACTGCAGGGATTGAGGCCAGAGGCAGCTCTGGGGGATCATTGGATGGGGGCTCTGCTTATACAGACACAACCAGAAGAGCCAAGGGGCATGGGGTATGTGACAGCTGCCAGCAGAGCTCCTGTGCTCTGGCTGTGTGAGAAGGGTTCCCTGGCTCTAACCCTGTCCCTCAGCTTCAGAGAGCGGGTATCTGTGGCTGCTGGGGGGGAACGGGCAGATCCTGTCCTGACCTTGCCTACTTGGCTCAGAGCCTTTGCCTGACGTGCGCAGCTGAAGCCACCAGACACATGCGGAGCCTTTGCTCCCTCTGCTATTTGAGCTGCACCCCCAGCTCTGGCCACTGACGTGGGTCAGCCCCGGGGGTTTCTCAATCCTGACAAACTCGGTGAGAGATCACGACCAAAGCGTCCTGCGGCGACTGAGCCACAGCCTCCAGCTCCTTCCCCTTGTGACCAGCATGGATTCATGGAAGGGGTCAGTGCTCACTGCTTCTTCCCGCTCACGTCTGATGAAATAACAGAGACACTGCATGAACCGGAATCGTTTTCCCCAAATCAAAAGAACTCATCCCTGCTCCTAACCTGGAGCGTTCCCAGCACCAAACACCAGCAGACGAGGCTGTAATACAGCAGCTCAGAGCCCTGCTGAGGGCCACACAGGGACCCTACCATTGCTGGCTGTGGCACTGGGCACTTCTCAGCCACCCGCTGTGCCTCCTGCCCTTCAGGCCCCTGGACCCAGGGTGACCACGCTCCTATCTCAGGGCTCACCCCCTGTGCGCAGCCAACTGCCAAGAGATGGTGAACCTGCAGTGCTGTGTCCTGATCCCCATTGCTCACCTGAAGAGAAGGTGTCAGTGCAGGCCTGAAGGTACAAGTGCTCCTGAGCAGTCACCAGTGAAGGTCCATCACCCACCAGCAGAGAAGCAGCAGAGGGTGACAAACAGGCTGCCTGGGAATCCCGGATCATCCCAAGACACAGGGAAAGGGGCTGCAAGGCTCCTCCCCTCGAGACCTGAACAGATCTTCCTCAAAGCACAACCTGCCAAGGAAAACACCTCAAAGCCCCACAGGCTCATGCTGGCTGCACAGGGGCACACTGGACCTTATTCACGTTTCTCTCCTTCCAGACTGCATCCATCTGCTGGATGAAACAGGAACCCTGATGAACCTGAGCAAAGCAGGAAATCCTGCATTCAAATTCACCTAGGGAAAAGGAGCACTACAGCCTCAGTCATCCAGCGAGACAGCACAGCTCAGCCTCTGCTTTGGGTGTGTTGTTGCCACACCACAGAAACCCTGTTACATCCTACAAACAATGACACAGCTTTGGAAAGGGGCTTTATTCACTTGGACATGGCACAGTAGCTCTGAAGCAGCCGAAGCCACCTTGGATTAAGACCTAAACCTTGTGTTTGTCCGAGATGGCTGCACTGTGGGAGAAGGAACCTTTCCCAGGCAGAGCTGTTTTCAGCCAGGAGAGAGATGAATCCACTCCCCCATTCTGCTGGCAGGAGGAGAAAGCTCTGAAGGAAACCAAAGCCAGAGGAACACGCACCTGCATCACTGGAGGAGCTCACCTCCAACACCATCTGCTGCTGGCAACAGCCTTCCAGAGACCAGGCACCAGGGAGCTGCTCAGGAGCTCCAGCAGCAGCACTGCCAGCACTGAGCCACGATGGGCCAGAAGACAGCACACACCTGCTGCAGGTGCTCCTGATGGCTCTCCTGCTCTCCTGTACAGCTTCCACCCCCTCAGCACCATCAGCCCCCAGCATTCATTTCTTAAAGGGAGTCAGTTACAACAACTCCTTCATAGTGGCTCCTCCTGCTCAGGAGCCTGGGGCTTCTCAGCACACAGAGCACTTGGACTTTGAGTCCAACACCTTTTTCCCTTGGCTGTCTCAGGAGAGCACAAGAAACACCAGATAAGGGCAGGGACAGCTCAGCTCAGCACACTGCCCACCAAGAACTTAGGTCTTGACATTTACAAGGGGCAGGACTCGCACCCCCAGCCTCCAGTACCTGCTGCCAGCTTCTCCCATGTAGACCTGGATTTCCCCACAGATCCCGGCAAGTGGCTGAGAACTTGCCCATACTTAGCAGTGAGAGGTCAGCAATTAACAGATTAATCCTGCCATGAAATTCAGCTGTTCAGCATCTAAAAGCAACCTCAAAACCCTTTCACACCACATGTAACAGGCCCAGCCTGCAGGCAGCACTCAGACTGTTCTGTTACACTGACAGAGAAAAAAGCAGCTCCAAAGCTTCACCTGATGCTGGTGACCTTGAGAACATTGTGTAACCCACCAAGGCTTAAGCCAACCGTACCCTGTCACACAGCCAAGACGGGTATTTCCTTAGCTCCAGGGTCAGAACAGCTCTTCAGGAAGAGGGGATTGGTGGAAAAAGAATTTGTGACTGAAGATACTGTAGGGCACATCCACCTTCAATGACCTCTCTCTGTTGGAGGGCAGGCAATGCAGCCTCTGCTCAGTCATGGATCTGCTTTTGCCAAGTCATGTAGGCACAGTCCTGTGCACAAAATATGGAGTCATGCCTTGTCCTTGAATACTGATAACATTAGGGTAGCTTGATTTTAGCTTGAGAATTGAGTAAAGACCATGCACAAGTGATAGGTCCAAATAAACTCCTTTATTTTTCTGTAATAAATACAACACTAGCTGAACTCCAGCCTCACAGCTCCAACCATTCCTTCTCTCCCCTACTAGTCTAGAAGTGAGTTACCACTACAAGACTCCTGTCTGGCTCATCTGTTCCCTCAGGCTCGCTCCCCGTCCATCCTCCCGCTGCCTACAGGCAGCAGGGCTCTACACCAGGCTCCTCTTCCCTGCAAGAGGACACATCCTTCACAGGAGAGAAGAAACACCTATGGGGAGAAAGCACAAGTTCAGCATTAGGTGCATTTTCCAGCAGCTCTTACTTAAAGGTGACCAGATCAAAACCTAACTCCCGACAACTGCCCTGGTTGCAGGTGCAACAGGAACTAGGGCATCAAGTAGGGAAAGCAGCAAGCTTCCCATGGCGTAAGAGAGGAACATCTGAGAGATCATCTACAGGCTCACCACCTTTACAGGACACGGTCAGGACCATCTCCCCTGCCCTTTCCAGTTCCCTTTGCATTCCAGGACACGGGAAAGACAGAGCTGCTTCCCATTTAAAGCCCTGAAGGGCACTCTAACCTCGACGGAATGCTCCTGCAACCTCTGCCCCCCTCAGGCACCCCGGCAGCAGCTCCCCTCCGCGCAGCCGTCCCGCAGGGGCACAGGCTCACCGTTGCTGTACTTGCACTGCTTCAGCGCCTCGTTGAAGCCCTCGCACAAGGTCAGGTCCCTCTGGTTGGTGGCGCACTCCAGGAACTGCTTCATCTCATAGTGGCAGGGGCCGTAGTTGGGCTGCTGGAACACGGGCTGCTGCCGGGGCGGGCCTGGTCAGGAGGGGGCTCTGGGGGCAGAGCCAGCTCCCCAGCCAGCACCGGCCCCGGCACCTTGTGCTGAGCCAGGCTCCGCCGGCCCGGCCCCCCCCCGCCGCGAAGGGCAGCCCAAGGACGCGGGCCCGGGGCAGGCCCGGTTCCGGGCTCACCTGCGCGGGAGCCGCCGCCTTGGCCG